TGTTCTAGCTCCATGTTGGATGGAGCTAGCAACATGGAGCTAGTTGTTCTAGCTCCATGTTGGATGGAGCAAGGCCAGCTAGCTCCATCCAGGATGGAGTTATCTGGAGCTAGCCAAATATGGATGATACGGAGCTATCTTTGTGCAGCATGGAGCTAGCATCGTGCACCAGCTTGGGAGAGGCTATAGCAAATATGTGAAAGTGGGTCAAGTGCAAGAAGTGTGCATATTTTACGGTGGATAGTAGTGACTGATTCACACAGCTTGGGAGCTTTTGAGTAGCCTCAGAAAGGCATGGAAAAAAAAGGCTAAACAATAACTTCGTGAGATCAAAAAAAGTGTTACTAAGATTGTCATGATTTAGAAGAGGAAGATGCACACCTCACTGGCAATTCCTTCGTCATCCTTGTATCCAGTATTTTCCAGAAATTCATGTATGCCAGTAAGATCCATTCTCAGGCATGCTTCACCCATGGGCTGCTAGCAGGCTGCTAGAGTAATAACAGTTAACATTTAGTGAATTAACACAAACAATCGAAGAAGAAGCACATGCTAGCAGCAGGTTAAAATTTCAGGGATTCAGTAGTTATTTCTTAAACAGATCTTACTCTTTTTTAATTAATTAAATTATGAACTTACATGGCTTGGGGGTATATGCTTGCCACTTAGAAGATCTAGCAGCATAGCTCCGAAGTTGTAAACTACACTTTCTCCCTACCCAATAAACAATCTTGAAAACAAAATTAAAACCTAGATCCATAAACTATAGTCATAAATACAAGCCATACACATAAGTCAATTGATTACAGGAATCCCTAAATTAAAATTTAGAAAGCACATATACATAGAAATCAAATACAACTGGAAGAAAACATTACTGCACAATTAATTGATACTACAAATAAAAACTCCTTACCATGAAATTACGGTTTCCTAAAGGATTTTTGTATGGAAACTGGGGGTTAGAAGCGAGTGGTTCAGGCGGATTTGTCCTTCGAACCTTCGACTTCACAGGTAATCGGCTCAGTTGTGCGTAAGCTTGTTGGGTATTTTTGGAACAATCGAGAAGAATAAAAACTAAAGTTCAAAGCCAAAGCATCCGTCCCGGATGGAGACACCATCGTGTCTCCATGCGACACGGAGACATTCCGTCTCCAGGCTCCGTCTCGTACGGAGACACCGACGGTGTCTTCGCATTGGGGAATCGGCATGACGAAGGTGATGGGTTTTTGGAGTGCTAAATAGAGGAATGAGGTTGGAGAAGGCAACGAGATGTCGAGATTGCTAGGGTTTTCTTCTACAGAATGAGAGGGAAAGAGAGAATGAGGTAGAGGCGATGGTTGTTGCGTGAAAGAAAGGAAAGGAAATAGAGAGAGGGGAAATATCTTCATCAATGATTTTTGTCGTTTTGCGGACGACACCAAAACTTGACGCGTGGCAATTACGAAACCCACTCTTTTATGTAGTTAGGATATCAACACTTAATGTTATGAAAAATGCCTTACAATCATGCCTATTAAATGTTTCCCGTCAGTTTCGAAACAAACCATTGAATTCGACATTTTCGAAATGTCGGGATATACATTTAAACTATCAATTTCACCTTTTTGCTATTGTTTTGACTTAAATATTTGGATGTGCCACTTTCATACTATTAAATGCCAATATATTGATTGTGCAGAATGCTTCTCATTACAAATTCAACTTATCAGGAATAAGTAATAATACTAGTGCAGCCTACGCATCAGAAAATGCAATAATTGTGAGATAGTTGGCCATAACTGGGCCACATATTCAAATGCAAACCATGTAAATAGGAATGATGTTTAAGGGCTAAAGTTGTATTTTACATCACACAATGATGGTGTTAAATATTTTATATTATATTATCAGTTTTGTGTCATTATCGTTTGCAGATATTAGTCCTGTAGAAAAAACATTACAAGCAAAGTAGTTAACCAGATAAAATATTTCATTAGTTGCCTATAGTTCAACCGTCGATCCTGACAGATTGTCTTACTAATTCTCGACAGATCATTGCAAAGTAGTGATTTAGACTAAAAATTTGGGTATAATGGATAATCGGATGCACAACATTATGTATATACATTAACACATGAATCCCTAGCAAAAATTAGAAAACATAAATATAGTTGAGAACT